ACCTATAGGTTGCTTGGCCATTGCAATTCTTCCACATGTGTTTTTCAATGGTGTTCCTTCGACGTTTATTGTATGAGCCGGACCAAGTCGAATATGTTGCTTGGCCATTGCAATTCTTCCACATGTGTTTTTCAATGGTGTTCCTTCGACGTTTATTGTATGAGCCGGACCAAGTCGAATATGTTGCTTGGCCATTGCAATTCTTCCACATGTGTTTTTCAATGGTGTTCCTTCGACGTTTATTGTATGAGCCGGACCAAGTCGAATATGTTGCTTGGCCATTGCAATTCTTCCACATGTGTTTTTCAATGGTGTTCCTTCGACGTTTATTGTATGAGCCGGACCAAGTCGAATATGTTGCTTGGCCATTGCAATTCTTCCACATGTGTTTTTCAATGGTGTTCCTTCGACGTTTATTGTATGAGCCGGACCAAGTCGAATATCGCTCATTTTCAGTCGAAGTGCGTCTGTTTTAGAAACATTTCGCTAGTCTATTAGTCCGAGTGAGTCCGAAAGTATTAGTGGATCCGACTGACAAAAACATCGGTGAGTCTGAGTCTGAGTGAGTTTAAATAGAGTGAAATTTCGTTAGTGTCAGTCCCAGTGAGTCCAAAGTAAAATATTTTTATATATGGTTTCGTTACACCAGCCGTACAGACAACAGCATAGAGGCTTTCACTTGCCGTCTTCGCGCTCGCGATGACTAAGAGTTGCAATTTCGAACATCTGTGCACCGGGCCCCAGTGCATAAACGGGGTTTTCTGCAGAACACCAAAATCTAGATGGTGATGGTCTACAAGTCCTTCAATTAGCAGAAGTGGTCTCTTACAATGTGCTTTACTTTTCTAAGTGTGTCAGTCGTATAGTCTTCTATGCGGCCCCCTAGCATAGGTTTAATTGAAGAACTCATTGAAGAATCGATCCAAACTAGTTTTCTTTTTGTACCAGCACCAAATAGCACATCGGCACTACTGCCGCGTGCTCCACATAGCACAATTCAGTTAATAGAGAAACGCCATGATGAAATTTAGCAATGGGCAAAGTGCATGGTTTAACCCAACACCCTCCCGACGGGAGGGTTTCGTTACACCGGCCGTACAGACAACAGCACAGAGGCTTTCACTTGCCGTCTTCGCGCTCGCGATGGTCAAGAGTTGCAATTTGGAACATCTGTGCACCGGGACCCAGTGCATAAACCGGGTTTTCAGCAAAAATATGTCGCTTCTTTCAATCAAAATATGCCGGAGGGAAAATTCCTGGTGATCGAATTCTTGGTAGTCTGTAGGAAATCCTGTCACTGCGTTGATATTGCTTATCGTACACCATTCTATAGATGCAGCAGCGGGGCTTAACACTCATGAACCATGGAAAAGCGCAGACAGAGAACAAGTACTCCCACGTGCGAACTTAGTTTAAAAAATATTGGAGCGATTTCCTTTTTTTGGAGTATCATTTCCAGAAGTCATGCGCGGCGAATAAATATTTGCAGTACTTTAACTCAAATATATGCGAGTAACAACCACCTCATACTTCCGCTATATAATGAAAATATACTAGAATTACAAGAGTTTTAAAAAAAGCTATCGTATACACTGCACGCCTTTTTATATAGTAGATGCACGTTAGGTACGTCATTGCGACCACTACCAATTCCCTCTCGGAGTGAAACTGTGCGTGCTTATATGCGTGTGTCTGTAGAAGATGTTAAGATTGGACTCCCTGGCTGGGCGCCGCTTGGACGCGGGGGTTCCGGATCAACGCTCTCGAGGTGCGCCAAAAGCGGCGACAACACAAAAGTCATACTTCGAATGCTTCAGGGCTGTTGGCTCCCCTCGTCAAAAACTCTTTGGACACGCCTGACTGACTGATGGCCTAGGAAGAGCTGTTTGAAATCGAGGCTGCTTGATTTGTTCGACGTGCCAAGAGACGCGCTGAACAATTAGCTGAAAGCTTGGGATTCCTCATCAGGTATGTTTCCCACACTCTGTGGTGCTTCCAAGTCTTCCGTTCTCGCAAGCCCTAGCCTGCCTAGCGCTGCAGACCCTATTCTGCACATGCGATGCAATGTTATTGCACGGTGATGTGTTGTGCGTATTATATCACTGTGACCTACGTTATGTTTCTCTCTCGCCGTGTGACAAAAAGCTGAACGTGCACCTTCTCTCTTTCCTCGGTTGAAAAGAAGGCAGTGTTTGACTTTCTCTCTCTTTCTCCCTCTCTCGTTTTCTTTTTTAATCCTTATTCGCTGCTCCCTGCTGGGCTGCAGAAATTAGGCACCTTCTTATAACCACTACCCCCCCCCCCCCATTTGGCGGAGGGAGATGAAGACGACAATTTGTTCGGACTGCCCTGAACTGAATTGACATGCAGTCTGTCAGTTTTCAGTGATCTGCAAGGCGGCTTTCCTGTAAGGTTTGTTTTTCAACCAAAAACTCGCGTTCACAGACTGCTTTTATTTCTAATTTTCAGCACGCGAGTACAACGAAATGTCACCTCTCCCAATTCCAGCGAAGGCACGCGAGCACAACAAGATCTTAAAAAAAAAAGGAATGGCAAAAACGAAATGCGCGAGAAAAGCAGCCTGTGAACGTAAGTTCTTGGTTGAAAAACTAACCTTACAGAAAAGCTGCCTAGCAGATTATTGCAAACTATCCACTGTTTTCTCCTGCAGATAATTTTACGAAGATCAGGGCGTAAAGCGTGAGCACCGAGACGCTCTGAACCATCCCTGAGGAGCTCCCATCACGCTTTCATGATGCTACCATCAACCTTTAGTGTGTAAATAGTGTATATAAACGTTCCTCTTATCAGCCCTGGCTACTCTGCTCGACTTCTAGCCGAGGCTTGGTTAGCTCCTTCGAATACATGACGAGCAAGCAAAAGGGCACGGAGTTGTACAGGCGAATATGTGCGACATCACATCGCTTTTATTACGTGACATATTCGTTCTCCGCTGCATTCGCCCGCTCGTGTCCGTAGACAACGTTCCAGTTTTGTAGCGACGACACACCGTTGATTGCAGTCACGTCATTGAATATCAATGAAACAGAGGTTGCATTATTTATTTGCAAATTACTTCACCATAAAGTATGGTGAAGTAATTTTTTACTTAGCCACTTGAGAAGCTTTCTAACTTGACTAGCTTTTTTATCAAGACCTGAACATAAAGTTAAGATTTATTTGGTTAATTTTGAGCATTACCTTCGCAACAGAAGTACATCACCACTGTCCGCAACAATTATTATTCGTCTTTCACAGTGCCAGTAGGTCCGTTCAAGGTGCGTGATGAAAACATGTCTGTTGGAGTACGTCATATATGACATGTCGCTCAAGTGTCTGTCTCCGCATTATTGACGAATGCAGCCGTCTTTTGTAAACTTTTTGCTGGCAAGTTTTTTATTTTATTTTGTTTTTTTTCTCACTGGTGGCCTCAGACAAGCGCATTACGCCTCTGCTCACCACACGGCGCCTGGGCCGACGGGGGAGAGTGGCGTTCTTTGTTCGTCAAACAAGTCACCGAAGGGCTGCCAGCCGTGTTTTGTCCATCTTAGCCGGGAAGTGAGGTGGCATTCCGACACCATAGGACGTTCGACGTGACGAGCACAGTGGTTTCTTGGTGTCACAGGTGCAGCGTGGTGGCCACGCCCCCATCAAAGACGTTGACGTGAGCGAGTGTGAGTGGCACCGTCAGAAATGGTGTGTGTCCCACGTGATTCAACAGCGCATTCTGGACACATTCCCTGATTTAGTCAAAACGCACACTTTATAATGAGCCACCCAGCTCATTCGCAAGAGATCTCTCGCTCTTTCTGTACAGAATGTAATAAATCCTCTTTTAAGTTTGCCATCCTACTCCTGAGTGAACATGCGTTTTCTTTTCTGTCTCTCTACACCCCCTTTCTTGCCCCTATTTCTCCACGCCCAGTGCTGGGCGTGGAGAAATAGGGGCAAGAAAGGGGGTGTAACCAGATGTTGGCATCCGGTTTGCTGCCCAGTGCTGGGCAGCAAACCGGATGCCAACATCTGGTTAATCCCCCAGCCTTCCTTTCTCTCTCTTGCCATCTTACTGCCTTGGCATCTTCATCCAGGATATTTGATGCCTGAATTAAAAGGCATCAAATATTTTTCTGCAGCATGTTGAGACGCTGCAGATAAGTGGTCATCCTCGAAAATTATCAACTTTAACACCGCGGACAGGTGATGATATACCCTGAGTAGGTTCGAGCATGTATTATGCCTCGACGCTTCCAATCTCCATCAAACTTCTCCCTTTCGATTTCATCCTTCGGGGCTTTGTGTAGTTCTTCACCTAACGCGCTGCATTCGTGCTGCACTGCTACCATTTCATTTCTTCTGTGTATACGCCCTGTTTTGGGCAGGATCATAGGCTGCCATCTTGGTCTGATTATGATGCCGTTTTGCATCCATATGAATATTCGAACAGTGCTACGGTGAACTCGCACGCATCAACACGCTGGGCCAGTATATTCAACGTTGTATGACCAAAATTATTGCTAATTACGACATAGAAAACCAGCGAAAATTGTTTTATGCCTCAGATGGCAGCATCTATGCGTTACTGTAACTGTTACATTTATTTTTTGTCAATTTGTCCAATACGTCATTTCATGCAGCGGCCGCCGTACTTGCCGCTGTTCATAGTGGTACTCTCGGTCTCTAAAGATGGATGAAGATAACTAAGGAGCCTGTTTTTTACTGGCTACATAAATGTGAAACGAAGCTCTAAATCAAGATGAAAAAGAAAAAGACGAAGAGCACGTGTCACTCTTCTTGGTTTGCTTCCCAGTGTGGCGGGCCAGACCCCACCCCCTGCAGTGCCGGCAATGCGGTCGGTTCGGCCATGTCAAGGAGAGCTGCAGCTGGCCAGGCAGCTGCATCAGATGTGGCCGGACCCACAAGGGAGAGAGCTGCAAACAGACCCGACCACGGTGTGTCAACTGCGGGGGCCAACACTCTGAAGACACCCCGGAGTGCCCCCGATGGCAGGAGCAGCGGAAGGTTGCCACTGTCATGGTATCTTCCCCAACCATCCTCTCGAGACGTGCAGTGGCAGCGGCGGTGCGAGAGGAGATTCAGGAGGCGCGGACCTTTGCGAGCGTGGTGAAGGGCCACCCTTCGCCGCCCCCCCCCCCTCCGGCCAGACCAATCCCGGCGCCTCGCAAATCTCGTCGCCAGCAACTCCAGGGACAGCAGTCCCTGGCTCTGCTGCCCCTAAGGCCCTGCCGGCAGCCACTGCTGTTCCTGAGGCCGCGCCTGCTGCAGCTGTCACTCTCGTGGCCCAGCCTGCTGCTATTGTCCCCGGAGGCCGGCCCGCTGTGCTCACGGCTCCTATGGCCCCGCCAGCTGCGACATTAGCGTTGCCTCCAGCGGAACCGGCCTGCCAAATCATCGCCACCCTGCTGCACACCCTGCCGTCTGTGGGAGAATCACTTCCTCTGGATCACCCCCTTCGAGCCATCTGTTTACAGACGGGAGGCTCTCTGCTCCCCACAGCCAATCATGGCTAGTTCCCCACCCGGAACGAGCCAAGGCAGCCGCCCAAGCGTTCTTCAGTGGAACGTCAACTGGCTGGGGCAGCGGAGAGACAACCTGGCAGAGCACCTTCTGCGGAGCGATTACGATGTGCTTCACTGCAAGAGGTGTATGCCCGGGCGGAGGAATTTCGCCTGCCGGGGTATGTTGGATACAGCAGCAGGACTGGCTGCACTCTGGTGACCTGCCATGATGCCCCCTGCCTGAACGACGGCCACCAGCAAGGACGTCCCCGGTGTGCTGTCTACGCCAAGCGGGAGCTCCCGCAGGCAGAGGTGAAGGTGGCTAACCTGGTTGGAGGCCCCTTTGAATGCTGCGCCATCCGCATCTACACCGGGGGGCAGGACACCACTATGGCCAGCATCTACGTTCGTCCGGGCCAGACCTGGGATCCCAGATGCCTCCGTCAGCTGGCGCATCGCCTGGGCAGGGAGTTCTTGCTTTGCGGACACGTTAATGCCAAACACCCAGCCTGAAGCGGCCGCAGGAATGACGCTCGAGGCAGAGAGGTGCGTGATATCCTCCAGCAGCTGGGGCTGGCGATCCTGAACTCGAGTGCCAACACTTTCCTCCGTCGTGGGAAGGTGTTGCACTGCCAGCACTGCCATAGATCTCAGCGTGGCCACGGAGGGATGCCAGTATGCCTGGTCGCCATTCCCGGATGCCTGGGGCTCGGACCACCTGCCCATCCGGCTGTCCCCCTTAAGAGGTAGGGCTCCACGGAACCGCGAGTACCGCGGTGTAAATTGGCAGGTCTACCAGCGGCCACTCAAGCAGGACACGAGCAGCGGGGACCTGCTGCAACTGGTGGCCCATAGTGCGAGGGCAGCAACAGTCACTGCCAAGGTCCAGCAGGGACAGCCCGTCCTGGACATCCGGCTCCTGGCTCTGAGGGTGGCACGGCGACGTGCAGAGCGGCAAGCCCTGAACAAGGCCCAACCGGAGCTCTGGACGGTCTTCCGGTGAATCGATGCCGTCTGCAGACGCCACGCACGCAGGCGCCAGAACCTGGGCTGGCAGGGCGTGTGTGTCTCAATCAACTGCTCGCGTGATGGGATCAAGGCCTGGCGCCTGCTGAAGTGTCTGCTGATGGTGCCCCGGGCCTTAAACCAGGGACTGTCCCTGGCTGTTCACCTGTCCATCACGGCTGCGAACCTGGCAGAACGGCTGGCTGACCAGTTTGCTGCAAGAGACATAGCCCCACTGCGTGCTGCACCACCGCCTGCTGCCCTCCCTTGCCCTGCCTCCTGCCATCATCCCAGATGGGTGTCCGCGCAGGTGCGGGAGCTGTGCGAAGAGCCCATAGGGATACACGAGCTGGGGGCGGCCCTCGAGAGGACCAAGCGACGAAGTGCTCCAGGGGCCGACAGCATCACCTTTCAAATGCTCCGCAACCTGGATGGAGGTGGCCGTCAACGACTCTTTGGGTACTACAACGACTTCTGGTGCACCGGAGTCTTACCCGAGTCCTGGCGAACTGTGGTGGTGGCGCCAATCCTGAAGCCCCGTAGGAAGGCCACGGCTCTCTCCTCGTACCGGCCAGTCTCTCTCACCTCCGCGCCCTGCAAGGTGATGGAGAGGGTGGCTCTAGAGACACTGGAGTGAATTGCCGACCACCTGGGCTTCTTCCTGGAGCAGCAGACGGGCTTCAGGCGACACCGGTGCACGGCAGATTCAATCTCGGACGTCGTCGCTACCCTCGAGGACGCCAGGAGCAGCGGGGACGTGGCCAGGCTGCTGCTGCTGGACGTGGAGAGTGCCTTCGACGGACTCCCACACGTGGCGGTCGAGGCGGCCCTGGGCCGACTCGGCATCAACGGGAGCCTCCGAGGCTTCGTGACTGCCTTCCTGTCCGGGAGGACCTTCCGGGTCCGTGTTGGAGGGGCAACCAGCCAACTCAGGGACATCACTGCTGGTGCCCCACAGGGTTAAGTACTGAGCCCCTTCCTCTTTACATGGCACTAGCAGGACTTCCGGCGTCTCTCCCAACAGACACCAGGTTCTCAGCCCGCTGCTCAGTCTACGCAGATGACGTGGCACTCTGGGTCCGGGGACCAAGGCGGTCCATCCCAGCCATCAGGAGATCACTGCAGGCGGCTCTCGATGCAGTGATAACCTACCTCGGAGGCATCGGGCTTAAGGTCTCTGCCACCAAGACCGAGGCCCTGCTGATTCACCCGCTGGCGGCAGCTCGCACCCACGTGAGATGGCTGAGGGTTGGCAACCGCAGCCTGCCTTGGAGGCTGGTGGTGAAGTACCTGGGGCTCACGATCGACCACCGGCTCACGTGGATTCCGGCTGCCAAGGCTGCTGCCACCAAGGTGCGGCGCGTCCAGGGCGCCATCAGCAGGCTGCAGCTGTGTGGCCGCGGCTGCTACACCAAGTGGGCCCTCCAGCTCAACCAGGCTGTGGCGTCCTCGGTCCTCCTGTACGCCTTCCCACTGGTGAACCTGACACTGGCCAGGAGAAGCCTGCTGGAGGTACTCCACAGGGGTGCACTGAGGTCCATCCTGGCGCTTCCCAAAAGCTCGCCGGTGGCAGCGACTCTGGCAGAGGCGGGAGAGTGGCCTCTGACGTTGCGTATGATCCAACGTGCGCTGGGCCACATTGACCGCCTTCATCGCGCGACCGACGGCAGGGCCCTCCTGGAGCGTCTCCGCAGTCAGCCAAGATCACGGATGGGAGGCCTCTGCCTGCTGTACCACCAGATGGTCCCGGATCCACCAGTCCCGGTTACCTCTCCACCGCCTCACCACCAGCCACCGGAGGTCTACCTCTGCTTGGAAGGGGCAACCAAGCGACGGACGCCTGCGGTCGCACTGCAACAGGCTGCCTCCTGCAAGCTCCAGGAACAACTGGAGGGACGGCTGCATGTGTTCATGGACGGATCTGTGATGCCAGACGGGAACGCATCGGGCGCATGCGTAATCCCGTCCAGAGCCAACAGCAGGCAGTGCGGGCTACCCTTCCCGGCGAGCTCCACGGCTGTGGAACTGGCTGGACTCCATCTCGCGGTAGACCTGTTGGCCGAGGACATCCCCCTTGAGCCAGCCGCGGTCCTGTGTGACAGCAAGGCGGCCCTGCAGACCCTGGCCAACTCCCGCCGTGCCGGGCTGACGACCTGCCTCCTGACAGCCAAGGTTCGGGCCCTCCACGACGCCGGGGTGCCCGTCTCCTTCCACTGGCTGCCCTCCCAAGTGGGCATCGCTGGAAATGAGAAGGCGGGCACACTCGCCAAGGCTGCCCTCCAGCCTGGTAACCCCTACTCCTGTGCCGTGGCGGCCAGGGACTATTCGCAGGCCCGTCTCAAGAGGCTCCTTGTCACAGTCCACCCAGACTCGAGGGTGGCCAGCGGGCGAGGACCAAAGCCTCTCTCAGAGACGGGCCACACCAGTAGAGAACGGGCCTCCCTGTTGCGACTGCGGACGAGCTGCATGTGGACAGCGGCCCGCCGCTACGCCAACGGCCTCTGTCTCTCCCCGTCCTGCAGCCGCTTCGGAGACCCAAAGACCCTCGAACACCTCCTCTCTGCATGCCCTGGCTTAGCACAGGGACGCTTGAAGGCCTACGCGGCCTACAGGAGACAGGGTCTGCCCGTCTCCATCCTGGAACACCTGCTGTTCCCGTCTCGTCCACATCCAGCAGCACTCCGAAGCCTGGCGGAGTTCCTGGAGGAGTCAAGAATCGCTGCCTACAGCTGATCTCAAAAGCCATGCTGCCCTTGCCCTTGCCGACGGCCTGCTGCTTGCGCTGAAGCGGACCGGACACCCTCCTTACACACTACACACTATTTCTCCTATTCTCTTTCACTCCTCCACCCCACCCCAAAGGCACTGCGCCGTGTCGCCGAGAGGCAGACAGAAATTAGGTGCCTTTTCTCTTTTCCTCATGAACCACTAACAACAGAGCAGAAAGAGAATAGGGGCCATTGGCAGGGCAGTCCGAGTCGTACGACTTGGAAATGTGGAGCTGCAACCACGTACGCACATACCTATGGCCATTCTCACAAGAAAAAAATGTCCTAGATCACCTTTCTTGGGCAAGAATACAGAAAACTAGCTAAACGAGAAAACTAAAATAAATAAACAACCGATAATCCACCAACCGATTGTCACCACAGCTGCGGAAGGAAGGAAAAACGTTATACGTGACCTCGGCATCATCGGCTAAACAAAGTAACTTATTCGCAGAACACTGTGTATCAGAAAAGACACGGGAAACACGACACCAATGGCAATGCAACGACGCCCTATGTCGACCCAACTTGAGCGCTGGGAACAGCGAACTGAGCAAAATTGCAGAACACTGCGACACCACTCGCAACATGTTTGCCCCATACCAGTCCCGAAGGCACGGTGAAGAGGTCGTTGCGATTTGTAGTCTTTCTGCATTCCGTGAAGAGCACAAAGAACGCGAAAGATTGGGTACGAGAAACTTGAGCGTGGAAAACGACCTTGCCATCAAACCTTTTGCAGTGCGGACTGAAAAAACGCAATGATGGGTGAGGGACGACAGGAAGTTGTTAAGCGCTTCAAAGATGACTATGAATAGAAAAGTGTTTAAATGGGAATGGAAAAAGAATCCACAAAAACACGGGCGTTGCTATGTTGTGTTGGACAACAGAACTGCAGGCCTGTTGGAAAAAGATGGCAGCAATATCTCACAAAGAGACTCGAGAATTAAAAGCCTCTCTGATTGCCGAGAGGTAAAAGAATTCTTCGACCACGTTTCAGCTTGAATAAATTTACTTCCGCGAGTGATGAAGGATCAGGTACGGCATGAACGGTGCGTTTCTGCCTGATTCCTTCTTGAAATATTGCCGCGAGAATTTTCATGGTAGCCTAAATTATGCAGCCGCTGTTTAATTGGTTACAAAAGAAATGACAAAAGCCCATGGTCTTTGTCATCGTACATTTTAACAAAACTTGAAATCCAGCCAGATGGCGCATTGCTACTGGGAAATTTTTAGCGCAAACTTATGCTTCCTCACGACGTTCACAAGCACCCATCCTGTCTCTCTCGTTGTTCTTAACGTCTTTTTTAGCGCTCACAACTATCCCAATAGCCACATTTATTCAAGAAAAAACTGAAGTGGCATCTGAGGGCACAAGCAGTTCAACGCAATAGAGAGAGAGAACGGGTGCTCGATTGCTCACGAATCGTGCTGCTTTCTCGTCTTTGAAGCCACATTAATAATGAATCTGGAGCTTAGCACTTCTTCTCCGTTGATTAGGTACATAATCATAGATCAAGCTCAGTGTAGGTTCCGATGTCACGTAATTAAGGTGACATGGAGTGGGATATGTGTCACAACAAGCTGAAGAACCCAATTCAATCCCTTCGTACCATCATGCTCGTTTAATACAAACGTTTGTAGATTGGGTTACAGAAACAACAATAAATGACCGAAAAATATTTAATTCCTCCATTCGTTAGTAACGCACTTCGTTATGTATTCTGTTTTTTGGAGCAGATCACGTGATGAATTAAGATAAAGTGCTGTTTCTATTTCACAGCAGTCAGCGAACGGTGTACTCTACAAACACATCACCTACATTATACTTCGTGCCAGCACAATGCATACAATCTTCAATTACATCGCAAAAAAATAGGGGTTTCTCGGAAAGAATTTCCTAATGCTTCGTTATACACTCAAACGTCAAAGTTAAAAATAGCACCACTATGAACGGGATTGACTCTATGGCCAAGTTTCACTGTAAAAAGCGCTTGAATAACATCACCTTCCAGGTATGCATTATACATTGCATGAGTTTTTAGATGTGTGGTGACATGCTTTGTTCAGGTTACATTGTTTAAGCGTAGAATTAGCTTTTTAGTCACGTTTACTATGCTTTTTATTGTTAATATTTCACATCATCGGTCATTTAGTGACGGTTATTTCATTTCCACATCCTTAAATTAGAGTTATGAATAGTTGATATCCAAGCATTTTTAAATATATATGACTGGTGTTTATCAAAGAACCTAGAATGAGTTCCGGGGAGGGAAAGATATGAACAGTTTTATCGTTTGAAAAATAAAGTTTTCGGCTTTACAAGCCGGAACGTCAATACGAAAACAAGGCACGTCATAGTAGGAGGTTTTAAATATTCGGAACCATGGTTTGGCAAAAAAAATGGAGACTACATAGACTCGCTCAGTAAATGTGCCTTTATATTAGGACTCGATATAGGGCCCAACCTATAGCCGGTATTTTGGTCACATATAGGTGGCCAAAAATATTTTTCTCTGCAAAATATTTCCGCATTAGTCTGCTTTCAATCATCCCGACATTTTTTGAATACACCAAAGATAGCCGCCAAAACGCCTTGGACGTTTGGCGTGGAATGACCGATCAAACTTTACGTCGATACCTGTCACTTTTCGCCTCCACTGTCTCTTTCCAAGTTCGTGTTCTTCCTTTCTTGACATTCAATTTCACAGTAATTTAAAAAATCCACATTATATTGGTTCTATAGAAGAAAATAGATTGTGGTATACGCATCTTAAATAAAACTTGGCCGTGCACTTACGCCTTATCTCACTGTTTTGTATCAATCATTTCACCATTCTCATCTTACTTACCTTATTGCCACGTGGTTGCGAAGGCAATAATATGGTACTTTGGTTGCTCAAGACGACACTTTTTATTTCGTGAACATGTGCCTAGAAAAGTACAAAGTGCTAGAAATTCACGCTTTACGCAGATAGCGGTGATCAGAGCATTGGTCGTCGGTAATATGATCTGCGCGAAGGTACGTCGCCATATATACCCGTGGCATCGAACATCATCCATATTGTAGGTGTCTCAAGCTTATCAGAAGGTTCTATAATAATCTAGAATTTTCGCAGACTGCCAAGCGTGCTTTGCGCAAGGCAATTGATTAATATGAGGTGTTTAACGTTTCAAAACCACCATATGATTATGAGAGATGCCGAAGTGGAGGACTCCAGAAATATTGACAACCTGGGGTTCTTTAACATGCACCCAAATCTCAACAAATAGGCCTGCAACATTTTCGCCTTTATCGAAAATGCAGCCGCCACAGGCGTGATTCGATCGCGACACCTGAGGGTCAGCAGCCGACTACTTTAGCTACTGAACCACAATGGTGGTGTCTTTGCGCAAGACAGTGACATAAAAATACAAGCGAGGTGGCAGTATAGTAATGTTGCAATAAAATTTCAGCAGATGCGACAGGCTCCAGTGTGGATGCTATTTTCATACAGAACCGTCAGCGGATAGCGACGCGTTGCTTGGTGAATCGACGTCTTTGGGTATTTCGAGTAGGCTAAATTTCTACCTAAAACATACGGCGTGACGACAGCACTCACGTTGACTTAAATTTTAGCGAAAAGAAGTGCACGCTTCGGTAGGATGATATGCATATTATTAAGAAGCTCTTGTGTATTCCTCAATGGTCGAGAACATCAATGGTCGAGCGAACCTTCACTATCACGTGCTGGATGAAAGGAATATATCTATGTAATGTTTACAGCCAGCCTATAGACCGCAACTGACGGTGTTGGCCGACATCACTCCTGTAAGTCTATATATTTAGGATTGTATCTGTTACAGTAAAAAGTAACTAAATACGTTACTCGTTTCTCTAATAAAAAAAGGGAACGTTTCATGGTTCCACGTTTTATATATACATAAAAAAGGTAACGCATTACCATTACCGTAACCGAAAAAAAACATAACGAATGTTACCTCTGCCATAGCTCCGGAATCATCAGATTTAATCAATGTGTCTTTGCTGCAGAAACCCACAATGAGAATTTTTAATTTAAAATTTATATTCCACACATATTAACCCAAGCAAGGATTATATTCAATGTTCAATTAACGAGAATTATTTGTACAAGTGTGCTGAACCTTAGCAATGTTATATAGAGGCCTAATGACGCCTGCCCATGTGATGGCTTCCGACTCTGCAGTGACCCACGGTGAAACCATTTTCTTTTCCTTAGAGCATTATACACAAAGTGAGGTTCGATAATCTACGGTATTCACAAAGAAGCTATCATTGAACTCTCAAGAAATTTACAACAATCGGCCTTTTCTTGATCCTTCAGCACCTTCAATAAAGCATGTCGAAATCGGTACTGTTGGTCCTAGCAACCGAAATGGCCCGCCGCGCGCCAGTAGGCAATCACGGAGGCCTATGGAGGCCTACATTGGTGCCTTTATATTGGGGAGGGGGGGGGGGGATCGGGAGATGTCGTGGGAAGGAGGGGGTCACTTGCAAGTTTGTGACACCAGATGTGGCTTGCAGACGCGTAAGTCTAGAAAAATCACGAAGGGGCACACACATCTTGCAATAGCAGCCATTTTGTTTTATTATTTTGCAGGTTTTATTTTTGTTTACATAAGAATTAAAATCATGCCTAGAAATCAAATTGACAAACGAACGTAGGTTCCCAGCACTCGTAATTGCAATCTTCTATTGAGTCTTTTTCGGAACCATTCGAGAGTGGCAGTTGCGATTTCAATTGACTCACACACCTTATGGGTATTGAGCAGGTGTACACGCTACAAAAAAGCATTAAAAATTTGAATGTTTTATACATACTTATCAAGCATTCTTATTTGTAACGTTTTTAAGAGAAATTTCGATGGGGCCCACTTGCAAGGGGTGTCTCCCTCCCCTGACCGAGCACAAAGGGGTCGGGGAGTCAACGTTCTCTACAGGCGTGG